TAAACATTTACTTAATTCATATCACAATTAAGATGACTTTTGATTGGCATATATGTGTTAAAAGTGGGAGGATGGCAGTTAAATATCTAGTTTTTATGTATTTTCATGTGACATTGCTGTATGTATAAAATACAAATGTATTTTATACTGTGTGTATTGATTTTACAAAATAAAGTACTTTAGATTTTCTAGGTTTTGGTTTTGAACTGGTTTTGTTAACATAATTGATGGTGGTGTGATACTGTTGTGTACAATTATTAGTTTTTTTTATTCATAATTTATATTTGTTTGGAGTGCATTACTTATATGCTGTGTTCAGCAGTATGGAGTTACTGTTTATTTTTTTCCAGTAAAATACCCAGCTGCATACAGTAAATGTATGTTATTTGGAGTAAAATGTTACTTTATTGGAGTACTGAGTGTGAACAACTCTTTCATAATAAGAATCAGCTTACCCAAACTACACTAAGCTAAGAAAGAAACAAGGTTATGTCAGAAATCTTATTTTCATTCAAGTATCTGTGATACTGGTTATAGTAATAAATAGTACTTTTTGTCTCTAGAATAGTACTTGTAATTGTCACTCTAACAGGCTAGGTACAGTACCTTATAAATTAGGACAATTTTACCAGGTTTGTCTATTTTTATGTGAATAGGTTGGTTGTCCTCAGATAGTCTACAAACAGAGACTATGTAGCTATAGTTTATTTGTAGGCTTGCTTTCCTGGAGGAAGACATCCAGCTTATTAAGTGATCTGGCATTTTTAAAAGTTTATAAGACTAAAGAAGGCTGATGTGATAAACATTAGTCCTTAATTTATTAGGTAAAAAGGTAAAAGTCTGTACAGTGTACAGTAAGTAGGGTTAAGCCTCTGTTGCGACATGAATTTAGCATAGTTGCTGTAACTAGTTAACACCTACTTCTGAAACAAAAGACACCAATACAAGCATGTTGAAACAGGCCTATTTGGAAAGAGTAATGATAGAGGATTATTTGAACTAAGTAACTGCCTCTTAACAGAGGGAATGAAGCTGGCAGCAAGCAAAACTGAGAACAAACTTAAGCACCTGCTCCTCATGGCTAGCAGCATAATGATTTAAATGTAAGAATACAAGGACACTGAACTAACAGTTAATGATATTATAAGAATAACTGAACAGTAGCTAAGGGAGAATGCTAGGGGTGAAAATCTTTTTAGTGGGTTTTCAAATGTTCAGAAAGATAAGCAAGATACAATTTGAAATGTATGTGGTTTAAAAGGAAACATTGAAATTTTAAGAGAGTGATATTCTGTAAACCACATAATACAGGTATGGATAAAAGTAACTTCTTCAGGTTCTACAGCCAAAATATTTTCTTTCCCTTTCCTTTTACTTAACAGTATGCAATTAAGCCCTACTTGGAGATTTTCAGCTTACAAGTTGACATAGCTCCCCACTTTAACCACTGTGATGAGTTGCCTGTCTGAAATTTTAACATTATGGTATCTTAAGATAACTTTAACATTCATAATGCACCACAGTCCACAAAGATATAGGTTTCTACAAATTTGAAAAATATAAACAGAAGACTGTCAAAATAACTATCTGTCATATCCTCCCTGTTTTTCATTTTTGACTTACTATTTCCATACCATTCACTTTGCAATGCAAAAACACCACTCAAAACACTACAAAAAAAAAACTGAGGCTTTCATGCATTTTCAGCTCTTTACACGGTTTTGCAGTTAGGTCTCATTAGTACTGGAAGCACAGCACCCAAAAGGTTCAGTACATTCGGCTGTTTTTAAAGAATACTGAGTTCACACAATTTATAGGGTTATGGTAATGTAATGTTTGAATTGCACTGAACCCACTGAACTCAATGGCAATCTGGAAGGGGTTCTAAATAAGATGATGCCAAGTTTCTTTCCTGTTAACTAAAGAGCTTGCTGTGCAGAAGGCACTGAGAACACTCACCTTGGGGTTTTCCCCTGTGGAATATCAATGTGAAATTCACACACCAAAGCACACATTTTATTGGATCTTTACCAAGTTTAATCCTTTCCAGACTTGTGACTGTGGATACAAGCTGAAGGATGAAAATGACCTACAGTAAGTGGAAACATGGTTAAAGGATAAAAAAGGTTTGGTGACCTGCTTCATCACACAATATTGAGCAGGTGGATAATGAATCCAGGTGACAGCTTCTATCTGAGTTAGTTAAATAGACAATGAATGGACGATGACTGATGCATTTAATTCTGTGAGCCCAAAAAAAGATAGGAGCATTAACATGGGTCTATATGCTAAATATTTAAGAAATACAACTAATTCGCACTTTATATGTGATTTCAATTAGCATTATAGTATATACAGCTATACTTGGGTGACATGCAGTATTTACAATTGCTACTTGCAGAGCCAGATCCTTGGATTAATTTCTGGACCTGGGGTGGAGTTGCATGGAGTTTGTACTATACAGTATGTTCTCCTCACGTTCATGTTTTCTCAGGGTGCTTCAGTTTTGTCTTCCTCGAAATCTTTTAAAGATTGCAAAATTAAAGGAAAGCAACAGGTTTTTTTTTGTAACCTGAATCATTTCCTTTCCCCGCTGCAGCCACTTTCATTCTCTTGTGGAGAGAAGGAAAAAAGACAGGGTGGGAGTGTGTATTTCTGAGATATAGAGAAAGAAGGAGAGAGAAGGAGCAAGGGACAGAAAGTTTATAAGGAGCAGTTAAAAAAATGAGAATAGCAGAGAATTCTGAGGTGGACAGCTGCAAGAGTGGAGATAGCACAGAGAGGCTTTTAATTCCCAATCCCCGTCGAGCCTTTGAAAATTACCAATCTTCTTATCACGGACACGGGACTTCTTATGCAAATTGTTGTGGAGTGGAACGTTTAAACGGAAAATTACTCGACAGCAGTTTTTTCTCCCCTCTCTCTCTTTTTCACATAGAAAGACTGTTCTGAGTCTTAGATAAGAAGATGAATTGCTCTCCCTGCTTTGAAGCGAGTCAGGATTTAAAGACTCCAGTTCGCTTCAGCCTAATACTGTGGCTCCCTTTCGCTTTGTACAGGAGCGGAGAGAGCTTCAAAACAACACTGAATTTGTACTCCCTCATCCTTTGACACAACATATCTGCATCCCATTTGTGGTGCTCCTGGAGACCAGAAAGAAAAAATGTCAACATTTTCTCAAGTGTTTGTATTTTTCATACTTGTTTTGTATCTCGGCAATTAAAGGAATACTGTAAGTATATTGAGGGGATAAGAGGAAACACAAATTGTCTGATTCAGTAATTTAACTTACAGTACCTAAGGTAAATGAGAAATTTGAGAACAATGAAAAATAGGGACATTTCAACAAAATGCCAGATGTCTAAAACACTCATATATTTTTAAATTGAAAGAAAGAAAACATATTTCCCCTGTAAATAGATTTGTCTACTACATCTTCAGAATGTCTTGCAGCCTTTGAAGTCTCAAATATGAGTCCCAAAACAAGTAGGGAATCCTGACTATGCCACCATACTGTACTGTCCAGGGAAATCTCAGAACTGCATCCAAAAACTGGATTCATTGTCATAATAATGCCTGAAATCACTTTCCACAAAACCCCATCTTTGCTGAGTCTTTCTAAAGGTTTATTAAAAAAGAGTTGAAGCAGTGGAGCATAAAGTTCAGTCCCATTACTGTCATCTACTAAAGTCAGTCATCTTAAGGAAATAAGAAAGTATTGTATATTGCAAATATTTCCAAACCTTGTGGGGCAGATGCCACTTTCTAAGCAATTCTTAATATTCATAGAAACCCAGGGTATTATTCCATAGGAGGTCCTAATATATTAGTGAGTGACTGAATGTATAGGTACAGTGTGGCATAAATCACTTGGGTGTGTGAAATATACCACATATGATGCATTGATAAGGCCCAGAAAGGTACTGCATACCGATTACAGTTTAAATACCTTAACTTGTTCACTAGTGCTGTGTTTTTAAATTAGCAGTTAAGGAAAGAGATGACTGTGATGAAATTCATAATATATTGGTCGGCAGTGATTAACAGTATACTATCTGTATCAAGCTATTGTCTTTCTGAACTGTATAGCCATGAGAGACTGTTCAATCAATCAGAGATAATTAACATCTCCAAACTACAGAACTAATATTCAGTATATACCATATACTTATTGGATTTTACAAAATACATACTGTATACAGTAGCATATCGTGCACACCTAGAAGACAGATATAGTTCATGGGCCTCTTTATACTGTAAGTGACCAATATTAACTTCGTTTTTTTTTTTGTAAGTGTTGTTCTTTGAGAAAGGGATGCAATAAAGGCAGATAAACACATTCATTAATATCTGTCCATAACAGCTTTTGTTTAATATTAACAAGGAAGTTTCTTTTATTGTTGACTGTGTAGCCTCCTACCAAACTGAGTAACACATGAGACATCGCAACACGTTGAAGAAGTTCAAGTCAGGAGGTGTGTCAGAATGCCTAGGCTGCAAAGGAACATGTAAAGGTTCATTCCATGCTGAAAGGAAAAGAAAAGAGACACAATGTTTTGGCTGTGGAACCTTGTTCAGGCATCAATATTGTGTTTCCTTTTTTTTCCTTTAAGCATGGAATAAACCTTTTCCTGTTCCATTACAACATGTTGTCTATTCTATGAGGACTGTTGTTCTATAACAAAATTTCAGTTATTACTTAATTGTAATTCTAGATAAAGCTGATAAAATGTTATCCTTGTTGTCTTCCTAGAATAGCATCTGGTGTATATTAATATTATTTGTTTAAAGATTCAGTGTTATCTGCATACTGTATAACTTACAGTGGCTTGCAGGTGCTGTCATCAAAACATTCTCAAGTACTTTGAATACGTTGGAAAAAATGAAATGATTATTAATACTTCTGTTGTTATAAGTTCATGTAAACCTAAACTAAGCAGCTCAATGTGATCTCTGGATAAGTATGACATAATGAGTGATATTATTCAATCTTTCCCCAGAAACAGGCCCGAAGAAAAATATGCTACCTCATACTGGCAGGAGCAGTGGTCTTGACCTTTTTGGTTATCATAATTGCAGTCTCAGTAAGAAAATGAAGAGTCAGAACCTGCAGCTCCAGGTAGGTGCTTATAATGTCTGTGTCTGTGCAGTGTGGAGGATTTATTTATATTAAAACTGTGAACAGACTGTATATTTTCACTTAGAAAATAAAAATCATAGGGGCAATGAAGATGACTAATCTAGAAAATAGTTCCAACAAAAATATTATTTTAAATCATGGCTACTCAGGGCAAATTATAGGCAGTACTCATAACCCCAGAACCATTTTATTCTGCAACTAGCTTCTTAATTACTGTATGTGATTTATAATTAGCAGAATCAATGCGACAATTTAGGAGCTGTTTATATCAAAATACTGAAATGGATTGAATTGAAAGGATTGTGAGAAGCATTGTTTTAAAACACACTGTTTTCTCTAAAACTTTCTTGATAAATGTACATTACTGTTTCATATTTTTTTCAGTATTTTTTTTTGTTTCTTTGAGCTTACATTTAAAGTGATGCATGAAATAAAGAAAAAAATAAAGTGCCAAAAAGGTTTGCTTTTATCAAAATGAAATTTAAAAACAAAAAAAATGTATTTCAGTGTTCCTGGCATAGGTCTTTCTTTAAACTATGACTACATACAACAAAGTAACACATGACATCAAAGTACAGCAGCAAGCACACTGCTTTGATGCCAGGATTATTTGACTAAGTCCTATTTAAAGCCCATCTTAATCTTCTAATGGAAGAATGAACAATATTAAAATATTAACTTGCAAAGTAAAGCTACTTTAAGGCCAGAGAAAGGAGCATTTTAATTTTGTTATGAAAGAAGCACTACCGTCAGTTTGTACAGTTTGTAAGGATTCAATTGGCTGAGGAGTATTTCAGTACTTCAAAATATACATCCAGAATGGGGGCTTACTGCACATTATTGTTAGATTGCTCCATATTGACAGACCTTGAAAGGCAAAAATGAATTGTTACAGCTCTTACTGTATAATTAAGGCAACAGAAGGAGTTTTCAAAGCAAAGATTTATTTTTTGTTCAAATAACCATCTAAATTACCACGAATTATGTTTTTTATCAAACTCTGTATTTGTGCAGTTACATGACATCCTGAAAGGCACTATATATTAAATTATAATTGCACTCTGAAAAATTGAGGCACAGAAACTCCAGATGATGTTCCAGTAATAGAAAACCTCATTACATCTACAGTATGTGTAGATGTTCTCCCTTTAGCATTCACTAACCTGAAAGAAGAATAAAAGTGCAAAATTATTTTGCTTAGAAAATTGAATTGAAACCAGTTTTGGTAATTGGAGAACTATTTCTGTCTGACCTGTAATTTTTAAGTCACATTGGAAAAAAAAGATAAATCAACAGTAATTTAAGGATCCTGCTAAAATAGAGTCTGTTTTATTTTACACTAGTTGGCAACACTGTGCTACAGTATGTAAGTGCTGTATGTATGTACTGTAAGTGCAAGATGTTTTCTATGTAATATTTCATGCTGTGAAAGAAACAAACTTATTTGTGCCCTTAAGAATTAGTGTGCAGTTTACCCTCTACAAATACATAAAGAAAAACAAATATTTTAAATAGTTTTAAGTACTAACCAAAAGTAAAAAAAGTGAAAATAGATTTTAAGGGTTGCCATAAAATAACATACAGTATACAGTTCAACAAATTAGAATGTGACACCAGTAAATTGAAAAACTAAATAAATATAGACTTATTGCATTCAATGTATATATACAGTATATATATTCTGCAATTTCCCTCACGGGATCAATAAAGTATCTATCTATATAGGATTCAATTGTATTTTTGCAAGTACTACTCGCCCAACTTTAATCTTTTAATCTTTAATCTTTAAAAGAGTATTCAGAAACTTTTACATTTCCAGTTTGAGATGCCGGAATTCAATTTTATTTGTACTATCACACCCTAATTATGTATCAGTCCCTTAACAAACTATTTTAACTATTTTAGGTGACTGCCTTCAATAGTATTCCATACAGGAACCCGGTTGCATGTGACTCTCAGGCAATGTTAAGATTTCAGTTGATGGAAAAGTTATGAAGAAGACACTGATGTTTATTCAAAACAGTAAAATACTTGTCAGAATTGTATAGTTCTTTCAGCAGTCTGTTTCAGTGTATTATAAAGCAGTAAACGTTCTATCTGCCTCTAACCTTACAGGTAATGCACAATTCTCATATTCTCATATTCACAGTTTATATTGTAAATATTGTTTTTTTAAATCTTGATTTTCTAGTATTTTGTTCATGTTCTTATTAAATCTTTGCTTTAGGTGCGGTATAACATAGCTGATAAGCCATTGTGGGATCCAATCCCCTCTGCAGACACTGTTGTTGTAACGTTGAACAGTGTTCTTTACCCCATTTGCTGCTGTCCACCTTGTGTGAGTGGTGACCAGTATATCTTCCAGGGGGTGGGGGGAAGGGGAGTTGCGCTCTCTAGTCCACTTACCTTTCCAGAAAGCAGTAAGAGTTCTGGCCTGGTTGGCTAACGTGATTAACACATGGAAATTATCATTACAGTGAATCTAGACTTTAAAGGCATGAGCCTGACAACAGCTTGGCAGATTATTGACACACTTAGGGAAAATGAAGGGGAGCTGAGGATCTTATAAGCTGTTAGACTTTGCCATGAAATGTGCACTTGTTGAAACTTTCCTTTATTTCACACACTAAGTGTTCCACCATGGCTAAAAGGTACTGTACAGTATATAGGTACCAGCTGGAGGACTGATGTAGTACTAACTCCAACATACAGTACCACAGCAACTGCTCACCCCTGAAGAAGGCTCTGCAGCTGAAGCATATTGTTTATGCTTGTTTATGCTTTTCAGCATGGACTTAACCTCTACTTGTTCCTTGAATGACTACGTACAGCAAGCTCATACTGCTTGGCTGGTTAGAGAGGTCACAAATGAGTACAAGGCTACTGTAGGGATTCAATCAGTGACTCAAATCCCCTCAACATGGAGATTTGCCAAGTGTGTTCTGATGTTTTGGAAATCTTAGTCACAGCTGGCTAATATTATATCTGACACTTGAACTGGCACAGTCTGAATTTTGGGGTGTATTACTGAAGTAGAGTATCCGGCAAGTAGAGGTGTGGCAGTCTGAAGTCAAAAAAGGGACTTGAAGTAATAAACGAATACTGTAAGTTGTAAGAAAGAGATATATGCATAGTCTGTAGAATATTCTGTAGAATGTAATAATAATAATCATAATTGCTCACACTTATATAGCGCTTTTCTGGACATTCCACTCAAAGCGCTTTATAGGTAATGGGGACTCTCCTCCACCACCACCAATGTGCAGCATCCACCTGGATGATGCGACGGCAGCCATAGTGCGCCACAACGCTCACCACACATCAGCTATCAGTGGGGAGGAGAGCAGAGTAATGTAGCCAATTCATAGATGGGGATTATTAGGAGGCCATGATTTGGCCAGGACGCCGGGGTTACACCCCTACTCTTTTCGAGAAACGTCCTGGGATTTTTAATGACCACAGAGAGTCAGGACCTCAGTTTTCCATCTCATCCGAAGGACAGCGCCTGTTTACAGTATAGTGTCCCCGTCACTATACTGGGGCGTTAGGACCCACATGGACCGCAGGGTGAGTGCCCCTGCTGGCCCCACTAACACCTCTTCCAGCAGCAACCTTAGTTTTTCCCAGGAGGTCTCCCATCCAGGTACTGACAAGGCTCACATCCGCTTAGCTTCAGTGGGTTACCAGTTGTGAGTTGCAGGGTGATATGGCTGCTGCCCTATGTGCATGTATACATATGTACATATTCTGTAGAATTTCTGCTCACATCTGAAAAGATTTGCTTTGGACATCCTCAGGACATTTCACAGTTTTGCTCAGATAGGAAAAACAAACATCTTCCTGTGCCACACCAACAAAAGCCTCCTGTAGTAATTGACAAAGTTAAGACTATTGCTTCAGCTTCCTTTAGCCAACATACAGGTATGTGAGCTAATTAGCTAACTATTGGTCACGTATTACAGAATGCAAGGGTACATAGTTTACAAAATTCTTAAATGTATTTACTGTATACTTTTTACTGTCTCTTTAACATGTTCACAGGTCTTTGCCAACTAAGTCATTAGTACTCTATGTGCATGTAGAGAGCAGCTGTACTAATGCAAGATGAGGATTACAGAAATCAGATCAACTAGAAGAGAAAATCTTGAATCATTAGAGAGATGAAAGTCTATGCATTTTAATTTAGCTCACTCTTTTCGCCCTGTGGGGTTTCTTTTGATTGTGACACAGCAGGTACTGTAGTACCAGGTCAAATACAAAGTAGATAAGTGACCAAGTAAACCGGTATGTGTGATGTAGGCAGAGCTTATGCAAGTTATCTACTTTGATTGCGTTGAATTGTAATGCTGTCTTGATATAGAAATAAAAAGTAGTAACTGAGAGTCATTGGCACAGGAAACAAACTCCAAACCATCCTGGAAGAAACAAAATAAAACATATTTCACGCTGTCTACCTTGGAAGATGGATTATTACCAGTTGTTTCTTTATAATAATAGTCAATCCTTTAAACTAGTACACCATTTGGTGAATATAGCTTGAGGAGACAGAATTTTATTTCATTACTAGCATGGGATTGAAGTGATTTTTATCTCAATTCAATCTCAACTCATCACCTACTAAAATCTGTCCCGACTGACAGACTTGACTGTTAAAGATATTGATTATAAGTTGGAGTCCCTTTTTGAAAGATAACCCTTCTTCTTTCCCTCTTTCTGGTTACCTCTGGAACAAGGTTATGTAAGATAGAATCTTCAATTAAGTGGCCCTTCATTCACTTTTAAAACCTCATGGAGAAACTAGAGGATTAGTAAAATTCTACAAAAAGTACGACATTTTGTGGTTGTTTTAGCACTAAGGGTAGTTTTTTAAACCATTGTAAAAACTGGGAATCCAACTTTATAATGAACGAATTGTTCAGATAATCAAAGGCAATAGGACAGGAACTGACTAGTGCAGATGTGTCTCAGCTGCTTTATAT